AATAGAGTGTTTCAATGAGCATAAAATTCTGTTTCAAATCGTAGCATTAATGTAAAGCATCGATTGATATCGACACTTCCCGAAGCGAAAAACTCTTTTCAAAATCGAATGATACTTACAATGAAAAAACGCTCCGTTTGTACTCCTGCGCAGTCAACATCAAGCAAATGGGGTGTCGACCTTCTGCTACGCTACTATCCCACATGATAGCCTTAATAACTAATGTTACATTTGTTTTTTTTTGTTTGCGTTGTGCTGATTAGACAGCATGATCAGCTGACTGCTGGTCGTACTCGAACATTTCTACATCAATATCCACGTTGGCGGCAGCAACAGCGGCTGCTTCAGCGACAGCAGCGGCTACTTCGATGGCCTTAGCGACAGTTTCGCGGGCTTTTTACAAATATCTATTGATCGCCTCCGCTATTGGAAGTCTCAGCAATGTCCATAGTCCTAAAAAATCAAACAAATGAATCTTCTTAAACAATCATTCAATCGCAATCGAGCGTCATCATAGATTCTGACCAGGGGGTCCAGGGTACAAAATACCCCCCTGAGCAACGAATTTACCCCCTCTGTGATTTTGAAAGTACCCACTCCCATTTTTATTTTCGAGCAAAAATTATTCCGATTTGCTGAGGTTTTTCAAAAATTCAATTTTCATATTCGAATGTCCGACTAAACAAAATTTATTTATTCGACGTAGACAAAACAATTAAGTCCGGTCAACTGTTTGATTATTTAATTGATTAAGTTCGATCTACTATATTGTTTATGTCTCAGTTTTTGCACATCTGCATTTTCGAATCAAATTATTATCGGCGATTGATATGATTACTTCAAAGAACTTAAATTCATTGCGAAATCACCTCGAGTCGAAGCGTGTAACAACTTCAAATAGACGAAAAAAAGGGAGTTTACAAAAAATTTTGAAACTAGTAATAATGGGTGAATGTCAAAGTAGTTGTACGAGTGCTGATGTTATAGCAGAGGCCAGATTTTCACGGAACGGCAGCATAATTCTTAAAAAAGAAGAAAATGTCAAAAAATTCAATATCGACACTAGTATTAGTGACTTTGGTTTACAGAAGGTAATATAGTGAAATATCATATCATGATTTCATCATTACTTAAACTCTGCAATTTCACTTTTAGTTCACTGAGCAAAAACAAGAAGATTTGTAAAATATTTCTCGGTCTCGAATTTTTTTCCGAAAGCAAATTTACACTGGATAGAATGGACTTTCAAAATTACCCCCCTTCAGATTTTCTCAAATTACCCCCCCTTAAATCGTCAACTCCAGAATCTATGGGCGTCAATTAGCCTTACCTTTTAGCAGCCACGACGTCACCGAAATACCGATCCCACCAAAAATCACTCGCATCGTTGAAATCCTTTTGTGGAATATTTATTATTCTGGTTTTACCGTTTTTATTCTCGATTTCTACTTTCGGCAGCAATTTTTGCGAAGACAACACCCGGTGCATGCTTGAACACTGAACAGTCGAATTTGAAGTGCTTTCGGCGAAAATCCGGATGAATGGCCGAAAGTTTGGATCGTCGAGCATTTGTTTGCGCTTGGGGCACCACTCACGTTTCTTCTTTGACTTTTTGCGCTTTCTTTTCTTTCGTTTGGATCGGTGCTGATGTGGCCACTCCAAGTTGTACTCTTCTATCTCGCGTTGCATAGATAGGAACATTGGCATGGCCTTAAACCAATGTTTTTCGTCAGTCGTGAGGTCATGCAGATCGATTTCTGGAAACACATTCAAGTCGTTCACCATGTCATACAACACGCCACACCGTTCGAGTTTGTTTGGCACTTTGATGTTTTTTTCTTTGATGATCAGTTTTACAACACTTTCGATGTCACTTGGCAAAAATTTCTCTGCGTGCCCTTCTCCGTCTGTGTTCAATTCAAACACTTTCAGTTTCAAGTACTGGGTGATGTGTTTGTTAGGTTGCGTTGTTGAATTGGTGACGACGTTGTCTGTGTATTGATTGGCCAAATGCTTGCGGCCATTGCTGAAATCTTTGTTGTTGGGCCAATCGATACGATGGTAGTCGTCAAGACCTAAAAATGAAATATGTTTGTCAAATGTGTAGTCGAAACTCGCTTTTTTATAAAGGGGATGAAATTGTTCAAAATATCTAAATAAATCAACTATTATTATTATTATTATTATTATATTACCTTCGACGATTGCTTTGAATTCAGGGTCGATATGTGGTAGCTCTGCTCGTGGTCCTCGTGGCTTTGTTCCTCGTGGTTTGTACGTCGACTTCGGTTTCGGTGGCTGATTCTTATGCCATAGCACTTGGTTAAAGCAGAGTTTGATCTTTTTTTTCTCCACTTTCACCAAAGAATGCGAAATCATTATTCTCAATTGCTATGTTCGTATGCCTTTTGCACCTCGAACAAGAACAGCAATGAGCCCAAAACGCAAATTGAAGTGGCTTGCAAACTCAGGTCCATTATTTTGCTCATCAATGCTTGCTGGAATTTCGGGCGAATGATTGTCTTCAGCGCACATTTGATCGTCGTAATCTCATCCTTCGTTTCTCCTTTCGCTGGTATGGATGGCTTGAAACGATTCGCCATTTTCCTATTGAAAAAAACACACACAATCGATTTAGTTTAAAAACGAATACTATTGAATTGGCGATTTTTTGACATTTTCATTGTTCCATATCGATATTTTTTACTAAATGATTTTTCATATTAATTATACCTGTGTTGGCATAGGTTCTGACATAGTTCGCATAGGTCGCATTGACCTAGCCCCCCCTAGCGCCCGAAAATATTCGATTTTCCTAGGGTTTTTCACAAGGAATAAAATTATTCAATTTTGCTAGGGTTTTTTGTTGCCAGCTCTCGAACTAACCAAGATTTACAAATTTTCAGAAATATTCAATTTTGCTAGGGTTTTTTCGGCTGGGGACCCTCCGTTGATTTTCGGCCGTGACCCCCCCCCCCCAAGTTTTGTAGTGTCAGAACCTATGTGTGTTGGTATATAACGACATAATTCCGATCGAAATTATTGTTTATCGGAATAATTGTTTTGTGTTTGGAACAATGATCGAACTCATTCAGTAACACAGCAAAACAATCGAACACATTGTTTCACACATACGTAGGTTGCTCCATAATTTTTTTTAAAATGGTACTTATAGTGT